GCAGCGGCGCGAGGAGTTAACGACCGGACGTGCTGCAACCTAGGGATCACCAGGCAGCTCTTTCGCTCTATAGGGATCGGGGGGGCATAGCACAATTCTTCTTGGAGGAGGGTTGGTTTGCCCGGGTGACTGATCCTGCCATAATGTACTCCTACCTATAGCACCGGCAACCGAAGTCAAGCATATATACGGCGATCTTCATGCGTGAATAGCCGGGAGGAAAGAAAGGGCGGTAGATGATAATGATAAAGGGCGTCGCGTCCGGACGGGCGGGCGGAATGGATGCGCGAAAGGTGCCATGCCATGGAGTGAGGAATATCCCGAGTCTCATGTAAGACAACTAAATGCACCTCGAGGTGCTGCCGAGGAACTGGGGTCGAGCACAGGATAGGCAATAGAGCGAGCCTATTCGTTATGGGGAATTTTTGCTCCGGGCCGAATAGAGCTTACCTCCGGCACCTGGCTTTCTCCGGCGCATATTAGCTTAGCTGCGCTTAATAGGCCGGTTTGGCTTCCTCTCTGGCGGCTTCCTTACCTTACCCACGCTACACTCCCACTCCAAGCTACGCCTGCTGAGCAAGATGCATTGCGATTTCCTCTTCTGTGGACGCACCGGAATATGATCCGAGACGGGAAGAGAAAGACTTTTTTCTCCGGCGGGCTTTCTCTCGTAAAGCCAAAGATGCCCCAAAACAAGGTACAACTGTTGGGAAGGGGACATGATCAATAGAACCTGGCTGGATCCGGGCTGGGATAGTGGCGCCCATTCCTAACCAGTTTCGAAAAGGTTCGTTCATGCTGGAGGGAGCATCCCTACTTAGTAATCGGTCCGCTAGTTCACGCAAATCCGAAGAAGTTATCACGGACGAGCCACATGCAGGGAAACTTGCACGTGTGGTTCTGGCCGGGCTTTCCTGAGGTATCTAATAACCTTGCTTCTGCTCGCCGCTGGCGCACCTCTCCTAACTATTGCCCATTTATTCTGGAATAATCTTTTTAGGAGGGACAATTTTACATATTTCTGCCAAATCCTTCTATTATTAAGTACGGCTGGTACCATTTCGATGTGTTTCGATTCTTCCGAACAAGAGAGGTTTGATGCTTTTGAATTCATTGTATTAATTCCACTTCCTACTCGCAGTATGCTCTTTATGATCTCGGCTCATGATTCAATTGCCATGTATTTAGCTATTGAACCTCAAAGTTTATGTTTTTATGTGATCGCAGCATCAAAAAGAAAGTCTGAATTTTCCACGGAAGCCGGCTCGAAATATTTGATCTTAGGTGCATTTCCCTCTGGAATATTACTGTTTGGGTACGACCGGACAACTACCGATATCTAAAAATATCCTTTCTTAGAATGTTGTTGTTAAATATATATCTATCTATATCGTAAACTATCGGATCGGGTATTACTTAGATGTGAAACTTGCAGACCTCATTGGTTGTGATATTGATCTTACGGGGGGAACGAAATCAAAGAATATATAGACTCGTAGAGACCCTCTATGTAGTTGTCTATCTAGGGCGATCGATCTACATCTTTCCCCATAGCCCCGGGGCTGTGTTTCGATCTCCTACGTGCGAAATCTGAGGGACTAGTTCCTATGGAGATTCCCCTTGGTCTAATTCCACGCCTTATGACGAAAGGGGAGTCGGCGTGGCGTAAAGTGAAGATTGAGGGAAGTAGAGCAAAATTCCCTTTTGGGGTATTCCGAAGGTGTAACCTAGGCAACGAAAAAGGGGCCCGATACTTCAACTAGAGGAGCGACCAGTTGGTTCACCAAACCCCGACCCAGCGTCACACGTTCTCCAGGTCCAAAGGGATCCAGTGCCCAACTACCGACTCCTCCCGGAATTGCGTTATCGGAGCCGAGCCAGGAATGGCCGTTAGTGGACACCCACCACTTTTCACCGGTTAGAGAGGCCCTCTTTAATACATTAATAAAAGATGTTCACAGGGGCCAGAAAGACTCGGTCATAGGAACTTAGACCACCTACGCGCTGGTAAACGAAAACCACCTCGACCGGATCAGAGTAAACAACAATGTCGAATCAGGCCGCCCCTTGCCTTGAAAGAATTCACACGCGGCCACCTGCTTTCCCAAAAAAAAATAAGGGGAGATCTGCTGCTTACTGCTCACGAAAACATCCGACCTATACTATAGTCAAGTCGTCCGCGTATCTTTCCGATCTCCTTTCCTTCTATTTATCAGATTTTTGGCTTTGACTAATTCAAAGGTGAAAAATGGGGTTGGCTAAAAAGGGGGGAGAGAGGAGTGGGGTACGCTCACTTCTGCATTTTTGTTTTGGTTATCGAGATTATCAATCTTTTTAGTGGGGAGGAATAGTGCGGGAATGGCGGTTCTCAGACGAGGGAATCGCTCCTCTCTAAATCAAAATAGGCTAGAATGCTTCTATCGATAGAGCTTTCACGTCTGCGCATAGAATCGTTTTTTTGCCTTTCCATTTCGTTCTTACCATATCATGGGCAGTTGGATCGGAATCCGTGTGATGGTTCGAGAGCGGTTTCAAATATTCTTCGCATCCATCTTCGGCCTTGTGTTACCCGCGGGACTGAGTTAGTGGTCGAGTCGTTTTTGGTAATTGACACCCGTCGCATTAGTTTCAATTCATATGTTACCATTCATAGTGAAGTAGCCCTCTTTTTGATGTCTGAGTGCCTTATTCTATCTATCAAAGTCCTTCTTTGTCTATAGCTCGGGTCAGTCCCCCACGGTCTGCTTTGATTTTCTCGAACAGTGCCGGTCCGCATTAGGGACTCTCGTGCGAGCCATGCTGCGTTCCCAGGCAGGAACTGCTCCCTTCCTTGAGCTCTCCATTTAGTTCCTCCCCCAGGCGTTGATCTCGCAACGGCCCCCCACTCCAGCACGTCCTCATATCGCGTCCGCCACCACAGCTTCACATCCCCGGAGAGATACATTGTTGCCATTGTGACTTGGTAAAGGGGCACGAACAGCCTTAAAGTGCTGTTCCATATCCCAAAGGTCTTCGATCCTTAGCATCTCGGGTGCCAACGAATGCCTTTGGTTTCGCTTGATTCGCCGTCGAGCCACTGCTTACGGCCTTCTGTAGTATAGGGACCGCGCCCCTACTCTCTAAAGCTTGCCACCCCTATCTATTAGTAAAGCTCGAAGCACTTCCACGACCCCCCGTCCTTGGCCTTCCATCATGGTCCGCCTAACCAGCCCATCTTTCTCCAGAGAAGCAACCCGCTCGCTTGAAATCTGTCCCTTCAGTTGTGTAGCAAGGCGTCCACACGATTACGAGTCCGCTCCCGTCGAGCCTCTTCGACGGCACTAGCCTACGGGTTCTTCCCACTAGCCATGGCTTGGCCTAACCTTTGGCTCTGATACCACTTGTCACGGCGCTAAAAGTCCTTCAAGCCCACAAACCGCGGCACCCTGCTAACGGTCCGCTGTAGCAGAGTAAGCTGAAAAGCCCTATATATTCTATTAGTAAAGCCTAAACGTCCTTATTGAAAGCGCTAACGAGCAAGAAAACGGATGCGCTAACACGCAATGGCTTTCGCGCAGCTCAATCCCTTGCTTTGTTCTATAGTAAGGGGCCTTTTCTTGCGGTGCGCAGGAACGCCCAACCTATACAAGGGGGTTCCGCCTTCATTTGGTCGTGCTGCTATGATGTAACGTGCAGTCGTCCCGAGGCAGCAGGATTATGGTAAAGGGCCCCCTCTTTTCTCTCCCTTAAAGTCCTTTATAGATTTAGAGTCGGGAATAGAGCTGTGGCTTATTCGGCGCTATATCACAATTCATTAATTCTCGGGCATAGCTGTTCACGAAACGTGGCATGGGACATCTGTCGGCGGCGGGAGTCTTACATCTGAGCGAGGGGTCAGACCAATCCCATTCATCCTGGTCCGATCCGAACGGATCTTGTTGAATGAATTGATCCATTGTTGTATGCCCTACTTCTTATTAGTTTCTTTTTTCCTACTCGGACCCGCCGTACTTCCTTTGACTACTCCTGAGATATAGTGGAAACTTTTTGTTATGGTGGAGAGTGGGGAGTGAAAACACCAATGCCGCAGAGAACGACCGCATGAATCGGAATCCACTTATATTAAGACAGACGACCGAGAAAAAAGGCTTCACGTTCTCCAAGTGGTTGATCTTAGCGTGCTAGCCGCTGCTTCATTTCGTATAGTGATAACGCTTTCTCTTTCTTAACGCTCCGCCCCCCTTGTATAGTAAGGGGAACTCTGGTTGCGCGGCTTTCTCTTATATGGGTCTATTTTCTCTGACTTGACTCAGCTTGACCTACTTGACTCAGCGGTTAGAGTATCGCTTTCATACGGCGAGAGTCATTGGTTCAAATCCAATAGTAGGTAAAACCGGCCGAAACCCCCTGCTTTTGCCAGCATGACAGCAAGCACGGACTGGCAGCAAGGAGTCAACTGAATGACCAAAGCATCGGTTGCTTCCACTTGTGGCCTTCTTCGACCGCCTTGCTTAGCGCAAGCACCAAGCAAGTAACCCCCCCCTCTCTTCTTCTCTTCATGTATGTGGGCTGCCTGCCCGTCCCGAATAGACGAACAGGAACAAGCTGAAGAAAGGCGCGAGAGAGAGAGTGGAGTGATCTCAAAGAGTTTTCTATTTTCATATTTTAAACTTTACTTATACTTATTTATATTTTATATTATATATAATAGTTTTTCGAATCAAACTATATGTCTTTCTCATTTGCTGCCACTCAACAACAGCAGGTCTCAGCTCTACACATTCCTAGAAATTTTGTCTTTCTTTCAGTTAAAGATTGTTATCATCTGGTATGAGAGCCCAGCTTGTGCGGATATGGTAGCGATACAATCTTCTGGATCTATAGTTGCTGATATGATTACTGCATTAACGCATACGATTGTCAAGCATCGCAAAATGGAACCTCTAAACGTAGATGTTTGGAAGATGAGAATGCAGTTGCTTCTCAAAGAACAGGATCTTTTTTTTTCATTCTTGAGAAAAGAGAAGCCCGCAGATCTGGCGCTAATGGCTTCTTCAATCAAGTTGATGTTGTTGTAGCCAAACAACAAAAGAAAGCATATGAACAGCATCCATAGTTGTAGACAGTAAAAAAAGTTATTCTTCGAAGCTGTGCTAATGGTGGTCAAGGATAAGGTACTAGTTTCAGTGGGAGACATTGAGTCTGCATGAGAAATCCGGGAGACTCCACAGAGAATGTATGAGTCAGTGACAATGGTAAACATGAAGTTTCTTCGGCAACGGTTTTTTCCAAGCAAGATGCAAGAGGGGACGAGCGTGTCTCAGCACTTAGACAAGATGGAGAAGATTAAAAAAGAATTTGTAGCAGTGAGAGTAAAAATGACTGATCGTGATCAGTGACCGGGAAGTCTGCTGAAGTCGTTTGAGTCTTTGACAACCACTCTCTCCCGTGAAACTCCTCCTTTAACTATGATTGATCTGACCATTTTCTTTAGGCAGAAGCTGAAAAGAAATTTGAACAGCAGTCTGAAAAGACTAATGCTGCGCAAAAGAATATGTTTCAAAAGAAGAAAAAGCACAAAGTGAGCGCGGAAGGACCTGAAAAACATAGAGTGGTCCTGCAAGAAGAAAGGTCACTTGAGTTTTGAGTTCCCATAAAAGAAGGGCAAAGGGAAAAAGCCATGATGATCAGGAAAAGGTAGTGTTGGTCACTACTATGGCCCTGTTTGCCAACATTTCAGATAGTTGGTGGATCGGGTCCTCACATCATATTTTCTTCCGAAAGGTAGTTTACTTGCTTACTTGTTAGAGTAAGGGGCTGCTTCTTAGCGCTCCAGGAAATTAGATTCCGACCAAGAACAAAAGCCCGAGGTAGAGCGTCGGTCGTCAGGGCAGCCTGCCTTTATTTATTTATTTTTTCGGATAACGCGGCACCTGGAGATATAGGCGTAGCGCAGGGCAGGATGGACGAGATAAGAATTAAAAAGTATACCTTGTTTGGGTTAGGGGGAGTCCAGAGGTGGAGCGAGATACCTCCATGCCGAGAAAGTAATGCGGCGGATGAAAGAGACAAATTGGTTGCCAAGCTACCTTGATGAAATCAAATAAAAGAGAAGAATCATTCCCGGTGAGAATGTTGTCGTCAACGTGTATAAAAGAAGGATGAGGCAACGACCGTGACGTCGGCGAACAAACATGGAAGAATCCGCACGGCTACAGTGGTAAAAAATGAAGCAGTGAGAAACGAGCTAAATTTATGAAACCAGGCCCCTTCTTAGCTCTTGGTGCCTGCTTTAGCTTGTCGGGGGCCGTAACGTAAATCGCTTTCTTGAGCTTGCATACCATACCAAGCCTAGGAGAAGAGAAGCCTGGAGTTGGAGGAGGCTGAATAGAAACTTATTCTTCGACTCAATATTCTTGAAGGTAGTTTACTTGCTTAGTGTGAAGCGCTAAGGATACATCGAGTCTCTTGGATTTCACGGCATAGCATCTATACCTGGACTGAGCATATCCAAGAAAGACACAAGGGGTTGACTTACTCTAACAAGTAAGCAAGTAAACTACCTTGGGGACAATTTTTCTCTTAACTGCGCAGGCAAAACACGTGCATCCAAACACTCGCGCCTATAGGATGGTGCTGCCCCAGTAAGAAGTTCGTGAGGTGCCGCTGCATCTTATTCCCCCCCCCAAAAAAAAAGGGGGGGGGAATAAGATGCCCCGTCCCTTCTTTATGCACATTCATATACATAGCCAGACACAAAGGTGTACAATCCGGTCAAAATCTGTGGTCCTTTAAGTGCATTCACTGCAGGTTCTCTTACTTGCTCTAGTGGCTGGCAAACGCCAACCGAGAGGGGAGAACGAATGGCTCAGGAATCGACTGGTTCCGAGCGGACTCGCGGAGCTGCTGCTTGGATTATCGTAGAATAAGAGGAGCCGTCTTAGGAAATGACTTAACTTAAAAGACAGACGCCGCCGCTGCGAGGCGAGGGAGTCGCTTGTCTGGTCTTGCGGTGCACTCACTCCCGTTACGAGAATGAAATCACGCCCCACCCAGCTCGAGACCAAGACTCCTTACAACTCGCACCAATAGCAGCACTGAGCGGCCGGAGATTGATTGAAAGGGCAGCCCAGCCCCTTCCCTTTCATTTTATTATTGTGATCAAGAGCACACACTGGACCTGACCCACTAATCATCATCTCATCTGGCGCGAAGCAAAAAAGGGAGGGCCCTTCCTTCCCAGCCCAACCCCCCCCCCTAGCCGCCTACCTACTCATGCTCGTAGCTCGATCGGAAGTCAAGAGTGTGGTCCGGCGGAAAAACAGAAGTCGTCCGTATCAAGTGATACGTGAATTGCTCAGTAGTGCTTCGCCACTACCGTAGCTGGCGGAAATAGCTTAATGGTAGAGCATAGCCTTGCCAAGGCTGAGGTTGAGGGTTCAAGTCCCTCCTTCCGCTCCTGGCTTCGTCATTTAGTGGTAACGAGTGGAGTGCATAAGCCCCTTTAGAGATAGGGGCGAG